CTATTGTCACCGGAAATCTATAGCTTTTACAAGACTTCCGTTTACACCATATCAAAGAGTATCTTTTTGTCCCTTGACATGCAAAGTTTCATAATAATCGGATAAACGATAACAAAAATATTTCCAAAAAATCATTTTCCATACCGATTTTTGGAAAGCTGTAATTTTTCTATTTTTTGAGCTAGGTGAGTAAATATTGTGCTCTCTATTCTCATTTGTAGAGGGGTATTCGTGGTTAAAATTATGCCACACATTTTTGAAACACCCGATATAATGTAATTCGAGAAACTCTTGTGATTTTGTGAAATTGTGAGCGAACACTGTTCCAAGAAATAATAATGACTGTGAATTTATTACCTAAAATACAATTTTTGCAGACGAATCATGTTTCCGGGCGAGGCGAAGCCGAGTCTGGAATAGCAGATGAGTTTTTTTCTTAAAGCTCCCAAAACACGAATTCACACCTCTTATTATTAAAAAAAAATTGATCACTATAATAACCAATTTTATTTTTTAGTCCGGAAAAACTGTTTTTGGGTACTGAGTACCTAAAATAACCATTTTGCGTACTATTTTATTGAGTCCTAAAAAGACTCATTTTAGTCACTCAAATGAGTCCCTAAAACAGCTATTTTTGAGGGCGTATACAAAAAACACGATTTTAATATTTCTTTAAAGGAAAAAATTCTTTCTCAAAATTTTGCGCCCCAAGTCTGGACTTTTTAGGCTTCTGCTATAATACGTCACTGAAAATGCACAATCAAAATGATCATCAACGCAAAAATATGAGTTGAGGCGAAGACTGTGGCACGACGCAGTCATTTTGCCTCTACAAAGAAATTAAAGAAATTTATCAGCTGTGAGCAAAAATCTAAGTGATAACGCAGCCAGTGAATAATTTGTTGTTGTTTGACAAATTGAAATCAGTATGTCTTCCCACTGGGGGAAGATATCACCTTCACAAACCGTCAACAGAAGTTCAAACAAACTGGCATCACAATACCACCGACTTCCCCAATTTAAATGGAAAGATCTCACCAGAAATGCAGTAAAAGCGCGGAGAAGCAAGAAGCACAACTGTCACTCCTTCATAGACTTATTTTGGAACAAATAAAATTCCTAAATCGGACACTTATTTTTGAACGAAGAAAGTATAATTTTCACTATGACTTATACAGGTGAAACGACTTTTGTAAAAGATAAAAAATTCTCGATTTAAATTTTCATTTTTTGTGGTTCAGCCCTGCTTGGTAAAAAAGACTGATTTCTAATATACCTAATTTTAGTTTTTAAAAATCAAGTGTCTTTTTTGTCGTAACTGGTAAATTCGACAAAAAGTTATGAAGAGTAGTTGTTAAAAATCAACATTTAGACCTTTTTACCAAATTTCAAAATCATCGGCCAACTATGATTTTTCATGATTTTTTTCATTACAATTGCTTTTTATCAGCAGATACGTCAAAAAGTTATTTAGCACTAATAATCTAAATGTAAATTTTTTATTTGTAATAAAAGAAGTGTTATAAATAAAATTCTCAGATTTGTGAAATAATAAACATAAAAGAAAAATTAAAAATCATATTAGTTGGCCAATGATTTTAAAATTTGGTACACGGGCCTAAATGTTGATTCTAAACTACTTTTCTTTTCAGCTTTTTGTCGTATTTGCCACAGAAAAGCGCTTTAAAGAAAAATAGGTTTATTGAAAATTTCCAACACAATGGTACCTACTTAATATTTCAAAACTAAAATTGTATTAGAAATTAGTCTTTATCCAAGCAGGGCAAAACCCCAAAAAATAAAAATTTAAATCAAGAATTTTTTTATCTTGCAACAGTCGTTTCACCTATCCGCGGGGACTCACTGTATAATACAGTGCGATCAAAAAGTCCTTCTATCAAGTGGGCGCACTATCAACTAACTAAATGTCAAAAAATTAATTTATAAAACTTAAAATACCTATGGAACCTCTCAAACCATTCTTAAATGAGATGTTCTTGGTGTTTACCTATAAAAATCATGTAGTTATCACGGACTCATTTTGGAATATACTGCAAAATATATAAATTTGACATTTTCACTTGTCATTAAGACATTAAAAGACATATTGTCTCTTTTATCTTTCGAAGACATACGTTTAAAATTTCCATGCTAGCTCGATAGAAATATTTTTTGATTGCACTGTATAAATCCTAACGTAGGTATATCAAAAAAATGAGAGACTGATTTCCTCGGGGCCAAGTTACACTAGTCCGGCTCTGATCGGATTATTTAAATTCTTTAAATTTGTACTTTTTGTAATGTCAGCAAGACTAGTAAAGTAACTAATTTTTTATTAGATTCAGGTAATTTACAACAATATGAGTTGGGTTTTGTGGATTATTATTACAGCGCGACAGATTTGATTAATGGCCACGAAAGTAGAAAACAGTGTAAGTTTGAGATTGATGAGTCCTCTCTTCCAGTCCTCAAAACGAACCATTAAACACATAAAACTGCATGACATTGAAGGTAAAACATCGCTGATAAAACTAGAAATTAATGCAATTATCCTAATATTTATCAAAACATGAAACGTTGCAACTTTACCATTGGTCCACATAAGCGTAACAAACCGCACTTGACCAATCACATTCTACTATTCCCCACCCGTACTCCTCCATCTACCTTTCATCTGTCAAAATCGTGTCACAATGGCAAAATAAACCAGTGTCAAAACAATAACAAAATCGTTTTTATGTGACAATTGTTAGAATTTTCAGTTTGCGGGGCCTTTAGTTTGGTGTTAAGTGTTTCTTTACTTTGTTTAATTCGCTTCAATTTCCGCAAAATTGTATTCGTGTGTAGGCTGACATATTGTGACAAGCGCCCACTTGCTACAATTATTTCTTTTTAGGTGACGTTAAATTATGAGCGACGAAAATATGGATTTGTGCGAGTGCATTTGGGGCCACGAATTGGCCATGCGGAGGCTTTTGAACGTCGTATGTGGACTACAACCCCAGAGATGAATTTTGTGTAAAAAGTGTCTTTTTAGATCCGAAATTCGCAGAGTAATTGTGTCGACAATGAGTGCTTTGATGACGGTTTCCAGAGACAGAGCCCCGATTCAAGCATGCTATTTATGACTTGTGTTTTGATGGTTGCAATGTTTTTGTATTATTTCCGCCCAAGGACTCAAAGAATTGATGACACCAAACCTGGAAGGAGTGTAAGTGTGAGCAAGGGGGAGGTTTCATGCTGAGTGATGTTTCAGGACCGTCATGGAGCCCCACCTAGCCCTCCATCGGCTACGTCTTAAACAACACTTGTTGCAATGTATACTTTATATTTACAAATCAGTTTTAGCAAATGTTAGGCCATTAAATTGTTAAAATGCAAGGGGAAGTTGAGTTTTTTATTGGCAATAAAACTATCAAATGCATCACTAATGCTTATGGCTTATTACTATCAATTATATCTCCAATGTACATACATATTGTTCAAATTCAAGGAATTGTATTATATCTAAATGACATTCCAACTACCAATTTTCTTCAACACAATGCTCAAATTAATCTCACTACAGATATGTATTTATGTGTAAAATAAATTTGTATAAAAAAAATTAGCAACAATTCAAATAAAAAGTATATTTTACGTTTGCACCTCAATTTTTTTATTTAATTTCACCATTTATAACCATTGATACCAATCTTAAATAATGCTTTTTCCTATATTTTGAATCGATTTTGTTATTTTTATGTATATATTTTATTTAAAGTTTAGGTATAAAATATTGTTTAAAATGAAATACCTTCACAGAGATGTTAAGTTTAAAAAAGGCTGGAGTTGCTGCTAATTATGCAACCAACATCACGACAAATTGGAAACAAGTTTTTCTGGAGTTATAATCTACTTTCGCATATTTTATTAAAAGCATTGTTCCCAACCAACCATTAAATTAAATTTGAATAAATTTTTCTATTTTGATTTTTTTTATGTAAAATTTTGTAGTTTGTATGTAGTTTTTATCTATTTTAATTAAAATCTAATAATATGTTTTTTATTTGTCTTTTTTATTAGTTGAGTTGCACCTAGTTATGCAACCAACATAGCTCAAGTCGGATTTCGGAGAGAAATTTCCTCTTCGGCCAGTCATTAATTTAATTTCAGCTTAAAACATTATTTTATAAAATTTATTTATGTAATTCAAAAATTTCCTTTCAATCACTTTACAAAAAATTTGTATTTAAGATTTTTTTAGTAAAAATTAAAAACTAACTTTTTACTTGTAATAATAATTTTTACAGAAAGCATAAATATGTTACGTTTACATTTTATTAATTAATTAATTATTAAATCTAATTATATATTATCGTCAATTAAAAGCAACTGCCATTTTTTTTTAAATTAACTATCGCTGCCAACATTTATTCAACATGTTGGTAGCTCCGTAAAACAGTTATTTTTATTGACCAATTAGAATAGCGTATTTTTCGAATCGAAAAATTTTTTTGCAACTTTTTTACTTACAAAAAAACCTTTGATAAAAGGAAGTTTTTTGGTTTACATTTTACCAGGTAAGACTATTTCTAATGTGATTTTTCAATTTTCCAACTACTTTTATAGTTGTTTTTTGAGGTTAGGTCCCCGGTTTGTCGAAAAGATGAACAATTTCGATGTAATTGAATTCGGCTTTAACAATGCCGATGAAACAATTAACTTTGGAACCCGGAATTTATCGGATGCAGACAATTTGTATGAAGCCATAACATTAGCCACCCTTAAATCTTCCACAGGGGTTGAAGTGAGTCCACATTTTGTTGTTTTGGGGTGTTTTGCCATTTTTGCCATTTTTTAGGCACAATCAAACCCGTACATCAGTGCTATTGTGAAGAATGGCTCCGTTTTTTTCAACATTGATAATTCGATGCGGATTTTTGAAGACAAACAGTGTTCCAGTGTCATTTTCGATGCAACTTTTAATGCAGTTGTCGACTCCTTTTGTATTTCCTTAAACGGAGAATTTCTTTTAATTTGTCTCAGGAGTGGCACATTGCATTTACTTGATTGCACGGATGGATATAAAACTGTCTTTAAGAAGTAAGTTTTGAAAATTTGTAATATTTTCTTCAAATCAAATAATTTCAGGGCATGTGAACGTGATGAGAACGCCGATCAGTTTTTTATCAATTCATTTTGTCATGAAAATTATTTTCTGGTTGTCACAAAACTTGGAAAAATTCACCAACTAGAGTTGACAGAGTTTAAATTGGAATGTGTGCACGAGTTTCATTTCACAACTCAAGTTTCAAGCTATGAATACCCTTTTCTGTTGCTTAATGGTTCAAAATTGGGGGTTTTTAATTTTGAAGACCATTCTTATGAGATTTATGATGGAGACCAACACTTTAAAAAATTATTCCCTTTAAAAAAGTAAGTTGTTTCTTATTGAGCTAGTTTTGAAATTGTTGCTTTTAGCAAGTTTCTTGCCTTGGATTTCGAAGGGAATTTGTACAAGATTTGTGCCATAACTTTGCTCATTTTTCCAATGAATAATTCTAACTTATACAAAGATATTTTTTTAATATCTGATCCAAATGTTAAACAAGTTGTTGTAGCAGTAGACATAGGAGAGGAAAAATCTCTTCAGTTACTTTTATACCCCGGTAATATTCTAACATGACGTTTATTCTCAAACTTATAGTCGTCTTTTTTAGATTTGACTAAGATTTATGGGTTGAAAGTGAGAAATGACATTCAATTAATATCTCCCGAATGCCCAAACGATGAGCTTTTGTACATTTCCAAAATCTTTGAGAACCACTCTGTGTCGGAATTACGTTTCCACATGGTTATCGAGAGTGATGCCGAGCAAAGACTTTATAGATTATTAAAAAAACGCAAGTATGAAGAAGCGGAAAAGTTTGTGGCCCTTTTTCACTTGAATCAGAGTCTTGTGAACGAAGCTAAAGCACAAGATATCGTCGATAAACGCACTTGCAGTAGCGAAGACATTCAACAATTAATCAATTTGTTGAATATAATCGACAATAACGTGTTTAAACTGCAGTGTTGTTTGGAAGTTTCGTGTTCGACATTTGAGGATGTCCGCAAAATCCTTGAATATGGTTGTACACTTCAGTTGAAAAAACAAGACAAGGATGCTGAAGAATTGCAAAAACGTGTAATTGATATCATGGAAAGATTTCAGACTTTTGGGGCGATTTACACAGGCGCTGATTTGGTTTTGGAGACTTGGCAACAATTTGCCCAAGCTGATCTATTAACTGAAGTCAAATATTTTTTGCAAAATGTAAGTAAATTTTTGGTTAAAATTTTTGTTATAATAACGAAAACTTTAAAAAGGTACAATTAGCGTAGAAAAAATTGTCCTCCTAATAAACCGCCCGGACCCTTCAAGGGTTAACCCATATAAAACTTTTCCATTGTAAACGTTATTTCTTATTTAACAGTATATATGTTTAGTTTGAAGTGAAGTTCAGTTACCGATTTTACTTTCAATTGAGAAAAAAAAAACAAATTATTTTAAAAAATTCACAACTTTAAAAATTAAAATTAAATTAAAAAAATAACACTGGTCAACAAATTTGAACAAATTTTCGGTAACATTGATTAAAAGCAAAAGAGTACTGAAAATAATTCAACTATTTAATTTATTTTATTATGAGCATACAATATTTTAATAAACTAACTTTAGAAACATTAAAAAAGTCATATATTACAATAAAAGAGTAAAATCTCAACATTTTATTTTGTTAGGTACGTTACTGTCGCGTTTTAAAAAAGCTACCAGTAATCGCCCATCATGGAAGGGTTCCAGCGGCCTTGATAGCGTTCTTTTATCCTTCTGATGTCTTGGTGAAACCTCTCTTCTTGTTCGTCACTGACAGCCCCCAGATTTATTGGAAAAAAAATCCAAGTGGGAGTGCAGAAAATGTATTAGTTATATTATTGGTAAAAAATGCAACAAATCAACGGTATGTGTTATCAAAAAATTAAATGCATTTTGTTATTTAGGAAGTAAAAAACTACTATTGACCAAATTGTCATCAATGTTACCGAACCCTTGTTGTCCTGTGTAATTAATGCTTAATTAGTTATTTATTATTTAAAATAACAAGTAAATGCCGTTTTAAACGGCATAATTAATTAAACAATATTATTATTATTAGTTGTACTTACCTAATAAAAACAATTTATTATTAGGAATTAAAATGATCAAATCTAACCAGAGACAATTTAACATAACTCTTTATTATTATTTATTGATAGCTTACTTCTTTTTAATAAAGTTGCAATTGACAAATTAAATAATTTTATATCAATTTTATTCAATCCAAACAAACTTTTACAACAAACACATCTATTTTCTAAATATTTGACAATGTAATTTTACTATAGTAAACAAAAGATAAATTATTCAAAAAAAATTGGAATATTTATCATGTAGTAGATATTTTTTTCTTATAACAGTAACAGTGTTTGTTAACAGTAACAGTGTTTGTTTTATTAATATTAAAAAGTAATTTGCAAATATTATTGTATTAAAATTAGAAGTAATTTTTTGGTTTGTTTTGTTTATTAATAGGGTAGACAGTTTTCCAATGGCTATGATTTTTTTTTTAGTACACAAAAATAAACAAAAATAAAAATTGATGATTAATTTAGAAGTTTTAATAAAATAACTGAACTGAACAATTATTAGCAAAAGTAAGTTGTTACAATTGCTTTGCGATTGCAATATCTTGGTTGTAAACATCTCAATAGTTCAATTTAAATATTCTTTTTTTTTGTAAAGGTTGCCATGAGTTCAAAAAGTCACGTCTACCTGTGTGAATTGAATAAAAATTAATAATGAAATTATTTAATTTGTTATTTACAGCTTTATTAAAAAAATGTAAGTATCAATATTTTAAAGAGTTATATTAAATAGTCTCAGGTTAGATTTTTCATTCCTAGTAATAGATAGTTTTTATTAGGTATTTCTAATAATAATAATGTTTATTWAATTATGCCATTTAAAACGGCATTTATTTGTTAACTTAATAATTTTTTATTTTAATTTTAAGCAGTATAAAGCTCTGAATGTTTTTTAATAATTTATTATTTACTCAATTGAAAGTAAAATCGGTAACTGAGTTTCTCTTCAAACTAAATATACTGTTGAATAAGAAATGACGTTTACAATGGAAAAGATTTATTGTTATGGTTTATACGCGTCGTGCTCTTAAACCCGTTGTGCGTGTTTTAAAGGCTTGCTTATAAACTAGTAAACTACTATTATAATATACTATTATATCAACTACCAGAGTGGAAATGCTTTCTTTGAAGTATGCAAATGTTCTGAGGAGTTGGTTGTCAACATTTTCAATTTTTGCTTATACTAGCGATTTTCTTGCCAATTGTAAGTCGCATGATTTTTTTTTATAAGACGAGAAATAAAAAGTACTTTTTAACGATATCAAACATAAAGAATTACGACCGATAGTTCCGGAGTTTTGAAAACATTATTGAAAACTTCACAACTAAACCAAATGACGTTTTTGGTCCTCCGTTCAGAAACGTTGATTTTACATTCGCCAAAATCGTCCAGAAACAGCCCTGTTGAAGGTATAGAGAATCAAAAAAAAATTCCAAATGTTGGCAATATTGGTTTGCATTTCCTAAATGTCAAGCGGTTTAATTTCACAGCCAATATTTGATGTATTGAATATATGTTTTTTTTAATTTGGAGTTAATTTTACGTTAATTTAATAATTTGGAGTTTATGCATTGTGTTGCCAACCTAAATACATGAATTTCCCTAGCGCAAACAATTTGACATTTTTTTGAACTTTTGAGACAGTTTAAAATATGTACATATCGTGGGCGTACAAGGAAAAACAATTAAGTCCAATTTTTCTAATTTTAATACGTATAAAGTCCATATTTGTTTGTTCTTTGAATGAAAATTCTGACTGTTTTCAATATTTTACTGTAGAGTTTATAGTTTTCGAGAAAACTAGAATTTTTGACTTTTTTCAAGCGACTACTACGAGAAAACCGTAATAAAAATATCCCACAATTAAATTTTAACTTTGGACGAATTTAAAAATGGGTGATTTTAGCCGATTTTTTGCTATTTTCTCGATAATTATAAGTCAGTGAGCTATGATCTTTATTTCCTAAGATGGGAAAATAAAAGTGCTTTCAATGATAGTGAACCCATGGAGTTTTCATCCATAATTCCGGAGTTATCGACGTATATTAACCAAACGATGAAAATTTCAAAATCTTAGTAATCCCAGATCTGAGAAATTTGCTTGTGTAATAGGGGTTAAGTTTCGAGAAAATTTGAACTTTTCTATTTGTCGAATTTTGACGACAAAACGAGTTATTTATCGCAAAGACAGTGTTGTCAAAATCTATATCATTGGTTTCGATAGAACCGCAAAATTTCGGGTAGTTTCGAATCTATCGACTGGTTTATGATATTACGAAAAAAAATTTTTTTTTTTTAATTACGAAAAATCGTCAAAAACGTGAGTTTCAAAATTAAACCAAATTACGTTTTTCGCCCTCTCAAGAGTCCTACAGACTTGGAACAATGCATCCAGGTGTTCCAAAAGTAAAGCGAGTGATAGAAAATGTTATTCAGAGAAAGAAAGTTCAGTTTTTTTTCTGCATTCGTTAACTTACACCTTAGAGTAACAATGAATTTTGTACAAGTCGTGATAAATTAAAAACGATGAAAATATTGCTTAGATTCATGCCTGTTTGAATTGAAGCAGTGAAAGGCATTTTGAATATTTTTTGTAGTTATTGTGTCATTATTTAATTCTCAATTTTTTTCCAATTAAAGTTTTTTTTATTTTATAAATGAATCGTTTTCGGACTCATATTTATGTTTATGTCACATTGACAGTATCAATATGGTATTAATTAAATGAGATTTGGAACTTACCAATTGTTTAATAAATGTTATCGTTTTAAATATATCAATTTGAACAAAATTTATTATTACTTCTTGCTAAGCTATCACTCTTTAACAAGTAAAGATGGAAAAAATTTATTTAAATATTTTTTCTTAGAATGACATTTTCTATCACTGGTTACTTTTAGATACCTTAATTAATGTTTGAAGAAAATTATTATTTTCAATTTTTAAATGTGTCAATCTAAAAATTTTAGGTCGCAATACCTTTTGAAGTATAGTTCTCCGCACGAAAAATGTTCTGTGAGTAATAATATCCAGATTTTTATAATTTTCTGGCTGATATTTTTTGGTGTTTCATGATTATTGTATTTTTATCAACTTCCTGCTTTCACTGTTTGATAAATAATAATCAAATGTAAATTTTTGTCAGTATTTTTTTCTTTTTCTGTGAAGTAAAAATGAACTCATGTTTAAAAAATAATTCAAGTTCCCTTAGTAAGTATTAGCCTACATTTTAGACATACAGTAGAGTTTCTATTTTGGATTCTAAAACTAAAACAACTATGACTATAAAATTATAGAGTGAGGAGTGCTGTACATCAACACTATTAACCCTATGTTTAGTTAAAAAAAAATTGCCAATACATTACAAGCAACTACAATATATCCAAGCAACCCTTGCGACATGTATTGACACCAATATTTAAAAACTGAACATGGAAACGCATGTTCATCGAAATAGATTCCTCACTGTATAATTTCCTGTGCGTATAGGTTAGAACATTTAATTACAATTTAAATTTATATGAAAAAAAAAATTAATAAAAATAAAGTCACTATGTTTTTAGCATGAAATCGACGAAGCCAAAATGATTTATAGCCGCCTAGACGAGTCGACAATAGAAACCCTAACAAATGAAAAAATTTCAGACGTTCTAAGCATTTTGAATATGGTAAGTAAATTAATATTATTATATGTAGGATTTGGATTAAATAGATTTTTTTAGCAATCACTATCCACCTGTCAGTCGTTTCTATCAACATTTATTCCACGCACACTTACGCACCACCCATCCACTCTTTCTTTATTCATTACATGGACACGCAACAAAGTGTATAATTTGGAACAACATTCAAGGAGCGATTTTCCAACCAATGCCATCAAATTAACGGAAAAAATAATCGAATTGATGAAAATTGCCGACGTGGATGACATCTTCTTCCAAAGACAATACGTTTTGCATAGAGATAGTTTATTTGAATTGTTGGTAGCACTGAAAACCATTAAAACACTCAAAGGCGAATACAAAATAAGTATTCGTGTAAGTGATTACTTGTCAGGGCTCCAAAATCTAATCAGAATTTTACTCAACGTGGATATGTGTCCCAAAGATTACGATTATTTCCTCAAAAACTTCTTATGTAAATATATTGTCGACAATCACATGGATCTCAACATGATACTTTTAGAGGAAATCAAGGTGAGTTGAATAAATTGAAGAATTGTTTTAAATGGAAAATTACAGAATTTGATCAAGTACGACGAGAGTTATTGGGTGAACATTATTACTTTGATTTTGGACTGTATTACTTCAGTAAAAGTTAAGTTGGAGGGGGTTCAAGCAATTTTGACTTTTGCTAAAGTACCATGGAGTAACTCAGTAAGGAAAATTGCAAAAGATTCGTTACAATTTCCACATGAATTAACTTCGGAAATTACTAAATTAATCGAGAATGAGCCAGGACTAGTGGTATTGAGGAGACCTGAATACAAAATAAGGGGAACAAGCATTGAAAAACTCAACGATGTTTGTACAAATATATTTCAAAATCGTTCTTGCAACATGATTTTTCTTTTAGTTTGAAGTTATTGTGAAACGAATCATTTATTGTAATCGGCCAACGATGATAGAAGATGTTTATACTCTTTGTAAAAACAAAGATTACAAACAAGTCGCTACCAACCAACTGGCGATACATTTTACCAAAATAGGGTGAGTTTTTTTTCCCAGAAATATCATACAGGATGTTCCATCTAAACGATTTTGTGAGTTCAATAATAATGTTTACTTGAAAGTATACCTACAGCTAAAATGTTTTCAAAATGGCGGTTTGTCTTGTTGTTTTAAATAGAAAGGCTATGTTCTTCTAAGAAGGTTTTTATTAGCTTTTTTCTATATATTTAGATTTTTTTTGAAAATTTTTGGATTTACACTTTCCTCTTCAAAAATCCTAAAATTGATATTTGAGCATTTCTATAATTGAGATTTTCAGGAGTTTGGATAAAGCTTTAAGCATAATTGATAACAATCAAGATGATGTCCAAGAATTGTGTATGTGGGCCGAAAATATGGTCAATCAAGAGGTAAATAAAAAAATTCTTTTTTCTCTCAAATCTTAACTTAAATTTCTAGTTGCGGATCCGAGATAAAAGGATAATTGATAATTCTTACACAATTTCGGGTCCACTTTTTGAGCGATTGAACGACAAGACAGATAACTTCACTTTAGATTTGAAAAATGTGTACAAGTTGAGGCAACATTTTGCAATAAAGACCACCACTAATGAATTGCGAAGAAACAAGAACAAAATCATTGATGAAATTCTCGAAACTGTGCGACTTGAGTTCGAAGCTGAAAAACAAACTATCAATGGAGTATTTTCGACTTGTTATAAACTTTCACTTTGTATGAGTTGGGACTATTTTGACGTTTTGATACGTTTCTGTGAAAAAACTGGTGATTATAATATGATTGTGAAGACTGCGGAAAAAGTCCTCGATCGGGAAAATTCAACTAAGAATCTTTGTCTGATGGCTGTTTTGCTATTGGGATACGTTGGAACGTATAAATTGCAATTATCGGATACTTTTTTGGATGATTCAGATACGAGTTTAATTGTTTCTAATTCTGATCATGTCGTTAGTGGCGAAGGTTTACGAATAGCTGGAGCTATTATAGCCAAAGCGATGAGTAAAGCAGAACCAGATGAGATTATGCCATGTGTTGAAATTGCAGATTGGGTTAATGTTTCGTTTCATTTCACTAGGAATCCGGAGAGTGATTTGAAGAAACAATTGTTTGGAGAGAATTATAGACCAGTTCCTATGGTCTCGGGATTTCAGACTTTTTCAGTCATTAAATTGATTTTTAATGCTTTCTGTGGATTTGTAGGTGAGTTATTGAAGTGTGTGTGTCGTCTATCTATGGTTTTATTTTATTTGTTCACCCTTTCAAAAATTACAACATTTTTAGTTAAGATAGGTAAACTAGAATCACATTCATGCCGTCTCTTGATAGAACAAATGATAATTATTGTTTCTGAAAAACTGGAGTCTATTAATGAAACAGTGACTAGTTTGACAACTACTGTCATGGGTTTGCAAAAATTGAATAAATAAATGTGTATTTTTTGGATCTATCTAGTGTTTTATACTTGGGTGCATACATCAGACGCAAGCCTCGTAAGTTGTGTGAAACTCCTTGTATAATATACTATTTTATCCGCAAACGTCACAAAAATGGCCACATTTGTAACTAAATGTCACAATTAAAAGTTTTACCTTCCAGCTATAGAGTAAAAATTCTTGTCTCTTTCGCTGTTTCAGCAATTTCTGGTTATGATTTCATTAGATGCAAAGCGTTTTGATTATTTTGTTCATTTACTTGCTAATTATAGTGTTGCTCTTTACTCTCGACCTGACGTTTGCGGATAAAATAGTATATGTTATTTGGAGTAAAAGTGTGTTTATGTGGCTCATCTGAAATATTTGCCTCATTATGTTCGACAAAATAAACGTTCAGCTTCAATTATTTAATCGGATTTGTAACGAAGCTCATTTACCACTTTCCCAAAATGAGTGTTTTAAAATTTAGAAAATAGTTTTATGACCCGGAATAAATTATCACCGACTTCTTGGAAACTATTTATCTTAGCCAATTTTTTTACAAATTCCTAATTGTTGAGTAGTGATTTTTTTATACCTACGGATTGTTGTATTCCATTTTTTAAATTATTTAATCCTATTTCCAACCGTCGGGACTGGCTGTCTCTAATCGTACCAAATATGTCAATATTATGAAAAAACTGGCTTCAATTCAGTCAAAATTTGAATTATTTAATATTTTAAATTAAATTACTTGGATTAATATCCACTGGAAACTGTGTATTTTTCAAATTTGTTAGCGTTTTTTGAAAATTTTCCAACATAATTCGAGTTTGTTCGGTTTATTTTTTCCGGGAAAGTCTCACAGATTCGGAATCCTCAGTTCACTTTAGATCTTTTATACACTTCCCAAACACATTTTTAAAAAAATTGAAAATATTTTACTGCCCCGAATATTTCTGGGACAAATGATGCCCGATTTTTCTTATCTATTTGTTCTAGCTGAAGTTTACAAATTAATAATCCTTGGTTAATTTTCCAAAGAAAAAGTGATTTTTTACACAAACTTCATTATGTTTATTTGCCGCATAGTGGTATTGTGAACGGACCACAAATTTTAATACGCCCGGCGAGGTGTCAAATATCAGAATAATAACTTTCAATCGATGATTCGTTCAAAATTAAACTTTCATGGATAGCTTTGACGCCAAATTTAAAAAAAATACACGTTGTATTTATAAGAACTTTTGGTCATTGAAACTGATTTGATATTTAAAATTAATTTAAAATTAAAAAAAAAATACTACAATTTGCATAAAACCGTATTATTTAACTCAATCTACTTGAAATTGTGCATGTTTATTGTTTTAGCGTTTATTTAAATTTTTTTAACAAGACTCGACTTAGTTCGAACTTTATCAAATTACTCCATATATATATAAACTTTCCAATAAAATTTTCTAGTTTAGACTTTACCGGATTACTCCGGAAGGTTTAATGTTTTCCTAAAATTTCTCGGTTCATTTTACATAAGAAAAGTTTTTTTCACATTTCCAAAAAAGATGTTTAAACAATTTCAACGATTTTTCCATAAAAAAAGTGTTTTTTTTTAATACAAATTTTAAATTATTCAAATATACAGGGTGTTTCGTTTTTATTGTTACAAATTTAAACAGGTGATAGGATATTCAATTCTAAGACAAAAGTTTTCATGTATCGAAAAATGCTTGGTAAGGGAGCTACACCCCCTGAAAGGGGGCTAATAGGTTTTTGCTAATATTTCAGAAACCATTTAAGATAAAATTACAAAATTTGTATTTAATTCAGAATTATTTTTACAAAAACTCGCATTACTCCGAATTTACCACAATTTTTTCCGGAAAATTTTTAGATTTGTATTCCTGGATTTATTTTACACAAAAAAAGGCATTTACTAAATTTCTGGAATTTTTAGGGTCCTGAGTTTTTCCAGAAAAGGTTTTGTAATTCTTGACTAATTTTTCACCAGAAAAAGATTTTTATACTTATACATAATTAAAAAGTAATCGTTGTCTACTGAACTAAAATTAATAATATTTTTTGTAATTCAACAATATTGTAATATCCTATATCCTTCTTCGAAAATGATTTAACTGTTTTAATCTTTTTTTTTTACTTCATTTATAATTTTTTCTTCTTCCTTTAGTACAGTTGTCCTTCACGTTTCTTGCTATTCCATCTTTCTTCTTATTCTTTCATTTTTTTAGTACCTTTTTTGCTCTTTTTTGGTATCGTTGCATTCACTGTCCCATCATTTTTTCCTTCGTTCCATTTCTCTATTTACATATTCTTTTGATATTTCGTGAGAAAATTCCCGTTAATTCTGTTCTTTCTGCTTCTGTTTCCGCTTATCGTTATGTTTCCCTCCCCCTTGTGCTACATAGTTCTAATTTAGTTTTCCTCCTTACTTATTCACTGCCGTGTTTGATTTTTCTTTTTTCTTTTTTGTCTCCATTTAGATCAACATTGTTTGTCGAAAAAAAATTAATGATAATAACATTTCAGAGAAGAAAAAGAGCCTAAACAGCAACTACCTGACCCACTTGAAGAACCGTCTTTTAACCGAGGAAGAGTTTTTCCAAGAAATCAAGTCTCTAATTCCTCTATTGGAAAATTTGAGTAAACAAGGCCAATATTATACTTCATTCACAATCATTTCAACTCTAAAAAATTGTTTGATGCAAGTTAACACACCACCTACAAATTTATTGCAACTCCTTAACGAAGTATTGAAAAAGAAATGTATTCCTAAATTATTATCAGCCATTGTCAATAGTAACACTATCGACACAGATCTTTTGTACAATTTGTTACTATTATGCGATCGCGATGACGCAACAAAATTCATCTTTAACGCTCTGCGAATCTATAAAAGACAACCGAAAAAATTCGATTGTATCATTCGAACAGGCCTCAGACTGTGGGATCATTACGAATTAACAGCGGGGAAACGTGAAATGTTGGACACATTGATTACTCTCAAATGGTGGAAAAAATTCGAAGAGAAGAAATTACCTTATGATGACTTTTTTAAGAGCAAACCGGAAGCACGTTTCGAATTTTTGGTAAACTTTAATTGCCTTGATATGAATTTGGTTAATGACTATTGCAAAGATTATAATCTTGATCCTGAGGCGTGTTATAAATTTTTCCTAAGGCGAGTTTTACAAAACTGGAAACCAGATTATGAAATTAAGACTGATGATTCAAATCGGCGATATTTAATCGTAAAAAACAGTGAAGAAGAGCTCTTAAAGAAATGTCGCGAAATTATGCAGGGTTTGGAGAGGAAAGAAGTTTGTGATATTATTAATAATGTGAAAAATTCAATTAATACCTACTATTATGAAGTTTTCATCACGATGCTTGAAATTTTATCGGAAATTGCCCCTGAAGACTGCCAATGTAACCAATTGGCAATGTTGTACTTTTTGAAAAATTATCAAAGAATGAGCAAACCCAGTCAAACCGAAATCGAGCAATGGTACACGAGTTTCCCCGATGCTCAAGTCGTTGATGTTTTATCCGAATTTCGACTTTCCTTCACTCCACTCTTATTTACAAATCAAATCTTCAGTATAATCCGTCCTGAAGTCAATTTGAAAACCTATCATTTGTGGTTTAACACAATTAAAATCCTTAGTCCACATCTCTCCAAAGACCAGATTTGTTCTTACGCCGTGAAAGACGTTGTTGCTAGTGGTGTGTTATCAAAGGGTGAAACCGGTTGGGTTTTAACTTCCAAACATGAAGATTTATTAAAGGAGATCGACGACTGTGTAACAAACATCACTGATCCCGAATGGGCAACGTCAGTAATGTACCACGTGATGACAAATACTTGCCCCGGATTGGACCAAGTCAACGCTGCAACTATATGCTACAAATACGCTGAAAAATATCGTCGATTGAACCCGAGTTCGAGTGCAGTCGAGAAGGCTGTAACTAAAGTTGAGAAGAAATATTTTATGTGTCGTACCATGCACATACTGCACACTTATCACTTGGCTGATAAGAAATACATGGATTTAGTGACTAAACCCAATGAATTGATTCGGACTTTGTATCTAGACGATCGCATTTTGAGCGAATTTCATGGACTTGAGATTAATAAAGCGTGCGAGGCTTTAGCCGAGCTGTTTCAATTGGATATTCGGAAAATTCATACAAAGTTGATTAATATGTGGCTGGATGATGAAACGTCAGTTGATTTTGATTCATCGATGAGTTTCTCATCCAATTGTGAAGAGGAAGGTTGTTTGAAAAGAATTGCGTATATTTGTAATTATGAAGTCAATTATTGGCAAACTTTGCTTTTTCAAATCGGTAATGGAGACGAAACAACGGTTCAACCGAGGAGTACACGATGTAAAGCCAATGCTTTGAGAGTATTTACGATGATTTCCGATGTTGATACTATTGCCAAGATCGCACAAGCGAATTATGAAGAGTTGATGTAACTTATTGTGGTTAATTTCAAAGATTGTATTTAATTTGGATGTTGTAGGTTTTTTATTAATAAGCTCACAATTATTAGTAATTTGGAGTGTTTTGGATTCGGTTTAGACATTACAGCTTTAGATCAGTCCAACATAAAAGATTTGTTGAATCGGTTGGTTCGACTAGCGGGAAATACACTTGTTGTTAAGACAATGGCTTTGATTTGTATGACATATCACAGTTATAGTACGAAATACTGGGAATTTATTTTAAACAACGCCATCAAGTTTTCTATGGTAAAAAATACATACTATATCTTAGTGGTATTTGTCAACAAAATCGATTTTAGTTTGCAGAGTTGAAGACTTACGTGACTTTCCTCAAGAAAAGCAAATATCACTACAAGAGTTTTTATATAAATGCTTGGCAAAAATTGATTGATCACTATTTTACTGATTTGAATAGTGTGCAAGATTTGGATAAAACTTTGCTTAAACATTTTGTAACAATTCAGGTACGTTTGTGTTACCACGATTTTGTGGTTATTTTATACTTAATTTTTTAGTCTTGTCCGGTTTTGTACAGTCTTAACTTTGAGTATGCATTCCGTCGTTGTATGGAGACTAAGAAACAGGTGTTTGCCGCTGTTTTGTTGCAATATCTGCGTAACAATGAAAATTATTCCTCGTTTGTGGAGGAATTACGTAATTGTGACAAAGATATAATAGCAGATTTAAGTTATTTGGACTCTATCATTATTGGAACCTCCAATGTGAGTTATTTTAAGATATTAAATACTTTGAAAAACTTAATTTTGTAGGTCCGGGAGATGTTGTCTAAATAAAATAAGTAATAGATAAGTTGTTAATGGTAAGTATTGTTACCACAATAAAAAAAAATCCAAAAGTAATGTCTTTTAATTAGTTAGACCATGACCACTTACTGTTTCTTTTTTTCTGTTTTCTCTCTATTTTTCTCTTCAATGTTTAAAATTGCCCAACGGAAAACTCACTCCATTTTTTTGTGTATTTAAAAAAATTCATCTTATTATTGAATAATGTTTGGGATTAAGAAATGATAATTTTTTTAAACGTTTCCTCGTATTTTGGGTTCAATCAAAATTTCGATTATTCGAAACGTGTCTGGTCCCGACCGTTTTAGATGATGCGAAGTCTATTGTATTTGAAAAAAAACAAACAGTTCGGAAAACGGATTACTGCGGGACAGTTTACTTTTTTCCGAAAAATTATCAGCAAATGTGTAATTAAACTTCATTATTCTGATTTTGAACTGTATTATTTCAGTAAAAGTTAAGTTGGTTATAAATGATTTTCATCTAGCCAGCTTTGGAATTTTTTTGCATGTAACTTTATTTGTGCCGCTCTACTTTTTTTGAAAGCTCTAATTCTCTAATTAGTGTTACTTATTAATTAATAATAAATTGTTGTTAATTAAATTTTTATTGTTTCAACTAACTTTCAATAATAATTGATAATAATGTATACTTTGGAAGAAAACAAGTTTATAATTGAAGTCTATTTTCGAAGTGGACGCTTAGTAAACGGCGTTTTTTTAATTTTGAGTTAAAACAAGTAGGTACCTCTATTTTCGTGAAGCGGCATTTTTTATTTTACATGGAAAATTCACAGCTGGCTAGATGAAAATTATATATAACCACTTTGTATTAAACATTGTTCCAAATCATAACAGTTTTTATGTTTATTCAAAATATTTGTTATTCGCTGATCTAGAACTACTTACATACTTGCGTTTTCTGTTCTTATTTAACAACAACAAATAATTTTTATTTATAATTTTTATTTAAAATTTCATTTAGTCTACAGTTCCAACCCTCAACCGCATTATTAGTACGATGGCGCTGCTTATGACAGTTCCACATATCAATACTAATATTTTTATTTTCGAGCCACTGAACAACAAAACAATCAAACAATTTGGTCAGTTCGCGAATTTGAGGTGCGTTTTCCATTATAAACAACCAACATGATTCAACATCTTCTATTGGTAAATAGGCCAACGCAGCACACATACGTACATTTCTTCGTACTTCCTTATTATTAGTGTACAAAGATACCAAACCGCAAATTTGAACATTTCGCCATATGCATTGATTAAAATGGAAATTACATCCAGAAATTTTTACATTCAGAAAGACGATACGTAACGCTTGAATAGCGATAGATTCAAAATTAATAAATTAAAAAGCCGAAAATATGTTTTTGAGGATTTGTCTGGCAACAAAGCAAATTTGTTTCGGTTTCGGAACTTCCCACATCTAGATTTGCTTAAATTGCTTGCAACAACTTTTCAAAATGCCGTCTATAAAAAAATTTGAATATCCTTTTTTTCACTACAAGGATTCTGTCTTCCACCCCCTCATCTCCCAGTAAAAATGTTTGATTGTTTTCCATTTTAATTATTTCTTCTGGTATCTTCAGTGACTCGACTGGCGTTGGTTCTTGAACGGATTGATCTTGTTTTTTTGTCGAATTCTGTTTAGTGTTCTTTTTACTGCATTGTGTGTTGACAAAATCAAGTTCTTTGATAAAAAACTTCTCAAAATTCATTCATTTATTCAGTTTGCGGCTATATCCGGTTTGCATACATGATTTGGAAGAAATATACCTTTTTTTTGGTCAAAAAATTAATATGTTCTTGTATTTTTGCTTTGACATTTTAAGTTCCACAATACAAGTAAAACAAAATAAAAAATTGGGTATCAAATATAAAATTTGTTGCAGATATTTACGAAATATATTTTTTGATATCAAACAATACGCAATTTGTTACTACATAATAATAATATTATAATAATATATAATAATAATAATATTTATTGGTGTTAACATATACAATAAATATCTTACACAGGTCAAAAAAAAAAAACACAGAAGATAAATGAATGTAAAAGAACAAAGGAGAAAACAAAATAGAATTACTTAACATTAAAACATTCAAAATCAGTAAAGTCACAATTCAAATATTCCGCAGTAGAATAAAAGCTTTTGTAAGCTAAGTAATTTTTGACTGCATGAAGGAAATTATTAGATGGTAGTTGCTTGATGTGAACTGGTATTATGTTATAGAATTTAATACAAAAGTAATTGATTGATACCATGTCTTGCTTTAGTCAGTCGTAGATTATTAAAACAAAGGTCTTCAGTTCTAGTGTTATAGTTATGAAAGGAGTTTGAGATGGTGTAACGATCTTTATTTTTAATTACATATTCCAAACATTTGAAGATAAACAATGAAGGTAAAGTTAGTATTTTAAACTTTCGAAAAAAGTTTTTACAATCTTCACGGTAATTGGAATTCCTACCATCACTCTTACAGCCCGACGGCGACGTTGTAGTCTGAAAATCCTTGTTGTAAAACCAGTGTGTCCCCACAAGATAATGCAATACTCTATGCGACTCTGTATTAAGGCGAAATAAGCAGTCAAAGTTGTTTTTTTGTGAAATACAGTTTGTCAGATTTTGGAGTAAGTATATGTTTTTGGACAGTTTGTCAGCCACTGCATCAATATGATATTGCCACGTTAATGTTCGATCTACAGTGACTCCTAAGAATTTTGTATGTACAACATCCGATGGAAAGCAGTCTAATTTTTTTGTGTTGAAAGTCATATTAATAGTTTTGTCGGCATTCAAGTGAAGTTTGTTAGATAAAAGCCATTTTTGTACTTGTTTATATTCTTTTGACATATCAATATCATGCAGTGAACTTCCTGCCTTACCAAGAGTAGTGTCGTCGGCGTATTGTACTGCATTAATTTGTGGGACACAGTCTGGCAAATCGTTTATATAAATCAAAAATAAGAGTGGTCCCAGGATAGACCCTTGAGGAACGCCATGGCTTATGTTTCGTTCTCTAGACAAGACACCATCTAGACTCACTTTTTGAACTCTATCTTTCAACCAATTAATTTAACACTATCAAAGTCCATATTGTAGTAGGCTAATTTTTTAAGTAATATGTCATGTGAAACTGTGTCAAATGCCTTACTAAGATCTAKAAACAAGGCTCCATATATTTTTTTTTCTTCAAAGTTTTTAAGTATGTCGTCAACAAAAGCTAGAACTGCATGAGATGTAGATAATTGTTTTCTAAATCCAAACTGACTATTAGACAATATGTTGTTWTCATTTAGGAACTTCAAGATTTGGGACATTAATAACTTTTCAAAAAGTTTAGATAAAATGGGAAGTAAGGTCGATAATTCTTTTGGTCGTTGGGATCACCTTTCTTATATACTGGTATAACTTGTGATATTTTAAGCAATCTGGAATAATATTTTCAGTTATGCAAAAATTAATTAACTTAGGTGTTATTATTATATTTTTAATAGACTTTATAATTTCGGTATTTAATCCATATATGTCACTACACTTAGAAGTTTTTAAACTATTCAGGCAATCCCGGACCTCGATGAAAGTGACATGCCTAAACGAAAAATTATTTGGAGGTTTTGGTTTGTTTTTGGATAACAGTGTAATAGGATCGAGGGTGTTGGTAGGTAAAGAAACAATTAAATTAGGAGCCACATTTGCAAAGTAACTATTTAATTGATTAATTAAATTAATTAATTAATTTAAGTAACTAATTAATATGCCTATGTCTTACCTGTAATTTCATGTGTAGAAGTCCTCACAATTCTTCCGCGACATTTTTCTGTTTTTTCTTTGCAGCACAACCACACAACACTTCCATCACTTTTTTTGTTTTTTAGTCTATATCAAAATCTATTTCGATGTTTCCGTAATTTGAAACTCCATTATAATATTATGCGAATAATAGATTTTTTAAAAACTCAAATAAATGCAAGAGAAAGCAGTTAGTTGATGTTCTGTAACAAATGCAGTTTTGATTTCTTCAATGTTTTGACACTTACAAACTTAAACAGACAAGTGTCGTCCAGATTTCGTTCTTGAAAGACCGGCCCAAAAATAATTTTGTTCCATTTTTATTGTTACAAATTTAAACAGGTGATAGAATGTTCAGTTTTAAGATAAAAGTTTCCTATGAACATGTATTAAAAAATACTATGTAAGGGAGGAAAGGGGTGCATGTTTTAATGGATTTTGTCTAATATTTCAGAAACCATTTTAGATAAAATTACAAAATTTGGTACAGTTGATTACTTTTATGGCTAAATTTTTAATTAGGGACGTCCTAAACTGGGGGGGTTTGTAATAAAAAGTACTACAACTATTTTGACTAAAGTTTCTTGTTACTTTCAAAAACAAAAATGCTAAATTCCATAATGTTTTACAAAAAAGTGGTCTCTTGCGTTTTGCGATACAACTCACCCTTCTTGAGTAAAATCTTTCTAATATTTATGTTACGCTTGTTTGTTGTGTTTTTACCGAAAAAAAAATGGTCAAATTTGGTCGAAAATCATACTATTTTTGCTTTTTTGAACGTTTTAGCATGTTTTTAAGAAAAACTCAAATTTTGAATAAGACTTTATTAAGACAAGATAAAAACTCACAACATTAAATCGAAAATGATGTTATTTTTTACTTTCTGAAGCGTTTAAGAAAGTTCTTTAGCCAGAAATGCAATTTTTTTTGCAAAATTTTCTTCAAACGGGTCCAAAATTTGATAAAAATTGTGCTATTTTTGCTTTTTTTAAGCAGTCAAATACATTTTTGAGCTAATAAACTGAGTTTTTTTCGCTAAAACAGACCAAAACTTACCAAATTAGATCGAAAATGATATTAGTTTTGCCGTTTCAATTATCCTTAAACCTTTTTAGTACAAAATTTTGTTCAAAAAGGTCCAAAAATTACCAAATTGAATCGATTATTATGCTATTTTTGACATTTGCGAGAGTAAAAACATGT